AGCTCACACTTATCACGGCAGATGGAATTTTCCTCTAGGGTGTTTGGAGTCTTCTCCCTGGAGGTCATCCCCTCTGCTACCTCCTCCTCCCTCCTTGCTTCTGCACCACACCAGGTTTGGAATACAACCAGACCTATTCTTTGGCTTTTCCTACTATATCTGGACATGTACCCCTTAAATTTGTCAGTATCCTCACTCCTAAACACTGCCTCCACTGAATTTCTCCCCTGCTAAACATCTTCAAAGATGCACTCATATCTGCCATGGAAACTCTAAATATTCCCAACTGGAGTCTCCTGGCCAAACATAACTTCACACCTACCATAGAACCAAACCAAATGTACCTCTCTTATGCTTGTGTTTTCATGCATTTGTATTTGGTTTTGAATAAATCAAGCTCTGGCCTCTATGCACTATGAAACTCTCAATGCTATTCGCTACCAGCATGGGTGAATTTATTCTTGCTCTTCCCCCTCTTATCTAGGAATTCACATACATACATGTGTATAAATGGAAACAGCCTCTTGCAGTATTCGTTAATTGCTAGTATATATGATATGCATAACCCTATGTGTGTACACACACATGTATACACATATATGAATACACTACTTTTCAATTACTAATATAAATACATATATACACTTGCTTATACACACAGTCTTGCATTTTTTGCTACTTATTTGATATTTCTTCCCTATACCTCTCAAACTAGATCTAAATTATTTTAGAAAACAGACCTATTTTGTGCTTGTAGGTACTATCTACTATTTTCTAAGCTAATGCCTAGAAAAACTCCAATGACTAAGACAGACAAACTCCCTACTTTCAAAATATTCATGGTCTGTTGAACTGGTTCCAATTCAGTTTGGTTACATTCAGTTAATTTGACAGATATATAATGTGTGCTCATTCTTTAAATATTTAGAACTTAACTGAGAGCCAAGAGAAGAGATGTGCAATCATCTGTATTCCCAATAGTGATCAAGTGCTCTTGAAAACTTCTGCCATTCATTTCCTGCTTGGCATGTAGCAGGTGCCATATATACAGGTAACATGGAGCCACTGCTCCTCCTCCTCCTCCTGCAGAAGTTCCCAGAGCAATTACCAAATATGAGTGCCAGCGATAGCTGTGAGTCCTTTCCCCATTAGCAAAGATGAGTCTCAGAGCATGTTGTTAGTAATGACACAGGTATTTTCTCACCTGTGACTGCCCCAAGCAACTACATTCAGAAGTACCAGGTGAATGAGTGAAAGATGCCTGCTCCATTGTATTATGGAAGCATTAAAACAGGTGTTAAATAAAGCAGGGACAAGGTGGCCTGCAGTGACCCAGAAAGGCCTATTTAAAGGAACCCCATGCCACCCATCTTTACCTGGCCATGTTGTAAAAGCAGTTCTTTATTCTCCTTCTTCACACAATGCACAAAGGAAACAGGGGAAGGAAGTTACGCTGCAATATTCTGAAAAATAAATCTTGCCACTGGCCAGTCCAGTGACAATATCCTGTTTTCCTTACACATGGATCAGATTCACTAGAGGCTGCACCTATAGATCTTGTGCTCTGTTTTCAAAAGTGGCTTCTGAATTATATGTGGTCACTTGCATTCACACATCCAAACACAGATTGTGCAAGCAGAGGTTGTTTGTGTGCCTACTCAACCAGCGTGTACAATTGCATGTGAGCACGGCTTCACCCTACTCAAAATTCACACTTTCCCAAATTGTGACATTTGACTTCATTCTTTTTGTTATTATTATTATTATTTATTTTACATTTTGGCATCAAATACAAATTAGACTTAGATTCAAACGTATGTAAGAAGAAAAAGGTAGAGATTTCTCTATAGTACTTCCAGTGCTCTTATATTCTTCTATATCACTATGTCTCCATAAATCTCACTCTCTGCTTAGATTAGAGTTCAGAAATCCCATGGCCAGCTTCCAGCAGTGTCCTCAAGGTGCTACTTGAGTCAAGAAAAAGTGTTTAACTGCCCGGTGCCTTATTTCACTCAGAGCAACCAGAGGTAGAAAATGCTTATTACGGGGAGGTCAGCGAAGGCAGAGCCGTGACTGTTTAGCTTGCTCAAGTGCAAGGCCTTCTCAAATGTGATGAGACAGGGCTTTGAGAATCAGGAGAAGGTGAGCACAGGTGAAAAGTCCATGTGACGCGTTGGCCCTGGGAAATGACTCCTGGGAAATGTTGCTTTGATAGAGATGACACAAAGCTGTGGCCATTCAAAGGTTATTTCAATGCATATAGACTTTCTTTGCCAGGGAAGACCCAATTTTAGAATTTCATTTGTGCTCAAAACACACTTTCCTTTCCCATTATAGAAGAGATGTCTGAGTTAAACACTAGAGGGCAAAGAGTAGAGGTGTCATCATACTATGCAAATGCTCAGGACACTGCTGATGTTCAGAACAGCATTGCCACATACGACCTTACCCTTTGCCTAGACAGGGAAGAATGAGTCCTGTGACATCAGAGAAAGCTGGTTTGGAGACCTTATCTAAACAGTTACTCTTGCTCTCTGTGACTAAGAGAATACCTAATGTATAAGTCCTGAGGCCCCTGGCATCTCAATAATTCTATAAGGCCTCTCAGTCTTTATATTCAGACTCTCACTATATTTTGTTTCAGCAACCTGACCAATTCATCTTTTGAACTTCATAAAGGGGAATTTTAGTGGCTTTTAGAAAGCCCAAAAGGACATCAGTGTCTCAAACTCTCAAACTCAGCACCAACACTTGAAACCAGATAGTTCTTTGTGATGGTGAGCTGCCCTGTGCATGGCAGGATATCACCACAGTTCCTAGCTCTACAAAATGCCAATAGCATTGTCTTGCCTCCAGGCATAACAAGCAAACATAGCTCCAGACACCCTCATGTGCCCTGAGGGGCAAATTACCTTTAGTTGAGAATCATTGTTTTAAAATGACCTAATGAGAGATTAAATTAAATGAACCTTGAATTTTAAAACAATGAAAAACAATTCTGTAAGTGGTTGAAAGTTATATAGGGAAACAAAACAAGTGTCATTGCATAGATTAAGCATCTATATATAGATAACTGACTAGGGCCAAGCCAAGTCTCCTGGTGATGTAAATGAGAATCAGAGGGCACAGTGCAAGATATGGGGACACAAGGTCATGGAGAAACTCATCCTTTTTGAAGCCAGCCCACCAAGGAAGCATTAGCTACCTTGTTACCTCCTGCACCTTTTATTCTGAAACCATCATCTACAAAACGCATGGTATTCACATGATGTGGAAAAGCAGGTGATTAGATAAGACGTCTACAGAGATGGACATTTTGTAAAGTTCTGTTTATTTAATGCCGCATGACTTCGAATGGGCCTGTAAGCTGACAAGTGTACTGAATGAGGAATGTTCAATTTACCAGTTCTAACCAGCCAAGTCCTTACATGAACTTTCTAAGACCCGGCTGAAAAGCCTGGGAAAGTTGAACTAATCACAAGCCTTTGGTGTTTCCTTCACCTTCTTCTAGAGCCCCAGCCCAACTCCTCTGCTTTAAACATTCTTTTGATACCCACTTAATGCCCCAGAAGTATTTTAAAACCTCAGCCATGAGAAGAACCTACAGCTCCCTGTGGTTCACCAGCTATGCATGACTCCACGTCAACCAACAGTGAAAGGAAAGATTCTGTGCTATTTTAAAATATGTCTAAAGAACAGAGAAGCAGACCAATACATCTTTGAAAGGGGTGGCTCTCACCTAAATTCACTGTTTCCCTATTTTATCAATGATATAGACTTCGGCGTCAGATAAATTTAGCATTAAAACGCAGGTTTTTGTCAACTGTGTGATATGGGGGAAATCACTCTGTCTGAGATTTAATGTCATCTGCTTTTGTAAAGTTGAGATGATGATAATAACAGTATCTATACAATCAATTGTTTTCTGAAATGCTTGTGATGACATACAGAAAGCAAAAGTCCCCCCAAATGTTGGTCGTTATTGTTATTATTATTATTGTTATCAATATGACCACAGATATCTTTCATTTACTATTCAACATTGAGTTGGTGCCTTCTGTGTACTAAGTGGTGGGGAAACTCAATTATTATTATAATATTGGTTTCTTAAGAGTCAAGATTTAGAAAAACTAATGCTGACAACAACCAATAAACGCTTTCACTGATGAGTAACAGTTTAATAGGGGCTGGCACACAGTAAGTGCTTAGGAAATGTAAGACAACAACAGGGGTGCTGATGGCTGTGATTTTGAAAGCTACTTGATTTGGCAATCTTTATTCAAATCACTTGTTGGAGTACATGTTTGTCACTATATGGAACAATTTATTTCCAAGTAAATGAATACTGATCTTGTAAGAAAAAGCCTATTTTTCTCTAAGTAACACTTTAATAGGTGCAGATTAGCATTCTTTATTATAGGGTAGGCTTATACTAAGAGTCTGGAGTCTCGGAGGTAATTTTCACTACTGAAAGGTAAATGAATTTTGACTAATTTATAAGTATATATTACATTTGTCAAGTTTAGACTTTTCCACCATACAAAGAAATTAGGAGAAGGAACCAAAAATATGATCGCAGTAATCAAAACTGCTCACTTACTTGGTAAAAGAGATAAAGATAGACATCTAACCCCTTGGTTAAAAAGCAATACCTTATTTTAATATTAATTTATATTAGGAAGTGTTTACTGCTAAGTCTCTTTTTGTGGGAAATAGGAATAAAAAGGTTGAGGCATTTTTCTTCTCCGTCACTCTTCCACAACCTGTTGTATTTCAACACAACTTAATGCACTCTGTTGCCAGCTCTTAGCCCCTTAATTCTCAAAAAAAAAAAAATTTGTTTTCTAAATATTTTTTTTCCATAAAACAGAACGTCTATGTGATGAAAAATCTTTCAATGACAGCAGAAAGAACCCATTATGTTTTCAGGTCTATTACCACGTTAGCTGGCCCAAGCGAAGGGCATTGAGAAATTAATTTTTTCCAAAGGAAGTCCTTACCTCAAATATGTTTGAAGGCTCATTGTTGTACTGGTTGGATATTATTTCAGATTGGTCACTGCACCACTTGAGTCCACCCAGAAAGCTGTCTGTATCCAAGTCGTTCACATCTAGTTCAGAAAGATCAAGTTCAGGAAGATCTGGGCAAAGAGGCTGGTCTTCACCAACCAGAGCAGCACACTGCAGGAGGCAGAAAAGGAGAGAAAGGCTTTTATTAACTGCAGGAATTTATTAAACTGCAATAGCATGTGATAGGAATTAAGCTTGGTTAATTCAGCAATACCACCAATGCTGTCCTATGGGACTTTAATCACTGGGGAAAACACCCTAAATTATTTTCTCACTTGGTTCCCAAAGGATACTTTGACTGCTTTATTCCATCTGCAGTTCTATGGCCTAACCTGTAGTAAATCCCACACTTTGGGAAGCCTTCTCTGATTCTCCCAGTTAGAAATCAACAGGATTTGTTCGTGCCTCTTGAACAGGTAGTACTTTGCAAGCTTCAGATCATCTTATGTTTACCTATTCACAAAATTTAACTCCATCCTTCGCACATAATAATACCTTTGAGAGAAGGGCCAGAGCTTTATTTTGCCTTGGGAATGGCACCACACACCATAGGCACTCAATAAACAAGTGCTGAATGAAAAATAAATGCAATAACTGCACTAGGCAACTCTCCCCATTTATACTCCTTTTAAGCATTATAATCCATATAATTCATTTAGCAACTAATGATGCAAATCCTTTGATTCATGCATGGTTCTCTTGAATTATTTAAATTATTTATTCTCACTTGACTTTTTATGAGTTTCTGGACTGTATCCTAAACAGGTCAAAAGCAAATACCTCGAGAGGAGAAAAAGAATGCTTATTTTTTCTATGTGGAATTTTTAGTCACTATGAGTAACTTGCAAGTTTTTTTTTTTGTGTGTGTGTGTGTGTGTGTGTGTGTGTGTGTGTGGTCAGGGTCACTTGGAACCTGGAAAGGAGAAACTGCAACAGCACACACAATTACATTTAAATAATACTTCAACTGAATTCAGAATTGCTGATTTTGTTTAGAGTGACAAAATGATTTCAGTAATAATGAAAGATTTAAAATATCCTTTGGTGTGAGCAGTTCATCTGACATGAAGCACATGTTCTTTTAAATATCCCACCCCTATTGCCCTCTAGTACAGTGGACCCCCTTATTAATGAGGTGGTCTCCGAAACTTGAACTGGTGGTCTAGCTGTTGGTTCCAGTCTGCATCCTATAAGGACCCTTGCAGAAACTCCCATTGCAGGCATCTGATGGTGTCAGAGACATAAGAATTGCATCTACCTGCAAGCCACGCTATTTAAATCAAGGGTCTCATGCCCAGCCATGGGACCCTCATGCCTCTCCTTTCTTAGGTCAGGAGAGACACTATTCATATCTAGGCAGCTGTTGGGCAGAAAGCTGGAGAGCTTCCTTGACATTTAGATCTTTAATAAAATAAGTTTTATGCAGATTTTCTTCTCCAGCACCCCTGTCATCCCTGGCAGGCTACATTACACAGGTCATATGCTGCAGTGTGATCATAAGCCACATGCTGAGAAGTAGGTACTGGGTAATGGAATCAGCAGTCGGTGAGAGGAGACGGGGGGAACCTGCAGGTCGCTGCAGTTCTTTCCTGAGACCACCTGGCCCGAAAGATTCCATGGGAGTAGACACAAGGCAATGCAGAGCAAGTACTGTCTTCTTTATTGTAACTCCATTCTGATTATTTTGTTAGGCTTTTCTTTTCATTATCTGAGTCAGCTCCAAGTTACAGATCTGTATACTTCACCAGGTTTCTAAGTGGAGGCTTGGCTGAAGAGTAGCTCTTGTCCTGGTACAATGTTCAAGGTGTGTTATGGGTGTCATGGGTTCCATTCTCACCCACACCTCTTGCTCCCCAAGCATCACATGTAGTATCAACTTTTATCCAACACAATCAATTCAGAGACAAGGAAATAACTTTATCAACCATTCAAAAGAACACTGGAAGTTCACTGACAGGGCTGCGGGAGGAGGGGCAGTCCTTTTTAAAAAGCATAAACAAAAAGAAAACAGCATGAAAAACAAAGCCAAGCTAGAAAACAGAGGCTGTCTACTTCGGGCTTATGTGCTTTGCAATGCACAGGGACCACGGTCTAGAAACCCAACGTGTCACACTGAATGACAGGGAGGTTGGGAAGACAACGTCTCTTTAACTGCCCCCTGCAGGCATGACCTGTGCAAAACCTTTTCAGCTTCTGAAAATAGGTACTTGTAAGCAACTTTTGAAAAACATTTTAAAAACCAGATCAATTTGTTGTATTTTTATTGTCCTACATGTACCCCTGTTTCTCTCTGTCTCTGTCTCTAACTTTTGCTTTTATGTTATGGTTCAAAAAAGTGTCTGTACTCTTTCCCGTGTCAACACGCTAATAAAATCCGTGCTCCTGAATGTGGCATTTTTCTGCTCATCTAAAACACATTAGTAGTAGTAAGTGTTCCTGTTATCAATTTATACTTGGCCTGTGGACAATGCCAGACTTCACAGTCCGAGCCCTGTAACTGTCCTCATCTGACAGGCTGATATTCACATTTTCCCTATACATCTGTAACAGGTTTGTTTTATTGCAATTACAGGGACACATTCTACTGCCTCTTGGCAACTATGACAGTACTTCCACAACTGTAGCCTTAAATTCATAAATAAGATTTAAGAGGATAAAGCAGACACTGAACACAAAAGGCTAATTATTGTACGTTATTTCACCCCAACAGACTTTTCTCTTAGTTAAGGAGCAGACAATAAATTAGCTTAACTGCACTGATGATAATGAATCATTATAATTAAGTATAATTCTCCATTAACCTTTTGGAGGTTTTGGTGCCATTGATGGTAAATTTTAAAGAGAGGAAAAAAGAGTGGACTCGGCCATATTAATTACATTAATAAAAAAAAGAATCTCAAACTTCTTAAAAAAATTAATGGAGGCAGAGGGAAGGGAACAGAAAGAGGGGCAGTAAGGATGGCAGTCTCTGTGGACTGCATGTCATGTGAATTGTCTCTATCAATCTTAGTAACCTTATTGTACATCACTTTCATTACACTGTGAAACACCGGGGGTTCTCAGAAGCTCCAGTGATAGAGGCCTTTATTAACCAGTGTGCTGTCCTGTCATTATGTGCAAAAGGGCATAATACGTTTTAGGATGACAGCAAACATTAATGATTCAAAAAATGAAAGCTGCCTACGCTACCTGCTGCTCATAATATTTCAGTCTGGCGGAGGTGATTCCCCGAGCTGCAGCCACGAAGGCACGGCGGCTGGCAGCTGGCTGCTCACAGTGAAGCAGCGACTGGCCAGTCCCAGCTGACCTCAGTCAATCCTCGGCTGGACAATGAGCCCAAGACCTCTCCTCATCAAGAAGAGAAATTTAAAAGGCCACTGTTCAAAATGCTTCTGATACTTATTTGAACACAACTGTGGTGATTCTGATGATTAAAGTAAATCTTCCTGATTTCCATAGGATCTGGATCCTCAATCAACTAACAGCATCGGGAATTACACATGATGGAAAAATGAAAGTACAGCAGCTGAGACCCACGGTGCCAGACAGGCAACCACCCACAGGACACTCCAGCTCCTCAAACAATCAGGACTTTGAAGTCACTCAGAACCCTGGAGCTTAATAGCTGCAGGACATATGAATTATCCATACTTAGTCCTCCTTACCAAGATAGCACAAGATAAGGACAATTGCAACCCGAAAATACCATCTGCTAAGGCAAGAGATGGCAAACGGAGCCAACATTTGCCAACACAGCAAAGAGTTAAGAATCCAGGGCATGCCTGGCTAGATAAGAAAAATGCGTTCGCAGACGGCCTGGGCCAAATTATTTTCACTTTAGATGTGTATCGCTGCACCGCATGGACATCTTATTTAATCAAATCACGTGTGGCCCAGGATCCTCCCCCTTACCCTACGTGCCCCCAGCTACCCGGAGGAAACACTCGAAGTCCTTCGCCAGATTCATTGTTAGCAGCTCGGATCCTCCGTGCAGTCCAATTCGGCTCCATCTCAGCAAGGTCCACAGAAAGTTTCGCTTGTTTCCCAAGTTGCCCAAACTTTCTGAGCACATTCCATTGTGCTGAATGCAAACACGCCCAGGTCCTCTCTTCCCCGGAGAGACTCCAGAGATTACCAGGAAACCGCTTACGTATTTTTTTTTCCCCCTTCTGTATGAATTGTAGCCAGCAGAGACTGTGGAATTGATGTATTGCCGTCTATTTTTACACAAGCAGCGAGCAGCTCCACACACAGTCCTGCCTAAACTCTATTCTCTCTCCGGCTTCAGGCAGCTCTCCGTGGTACAGGGAGATTTAACCATTGGCTTCCCTGACACCAACTGCACACAGAAACCTTGCACTAGAAGTCTATTTATTTATTTATTTATTTAATTTTTTCCTGATTCACTGGGCAAATCTTTCAACCACGTACATACGAGAGTTTTAAAGAAAGCAGCATCTTTGTTTTGTGTTCTGTGAGAAAAGCAATCTAAAATAGCCCAGTAGGATTATTTAGGATTTTGTAAATTCTCGGATAAACAGGGGGACGGGGGAATCCCAACTAGACTAAAAACGGACTATATTTGAACACATCCGTTTTAATATTTTTGACTTCATTGTCTTATAATTAGAAATGGCATTTTTCCAACCAGGCCACTAAACACCCCTGGAAAGACTTCAGCTTCTGATTCATATCAATATTTTACAGCATAAATATTGCATATGAGTAGAAACAGAGCCAAAGGCACATGGAAAGAGTTTCTAACTGCAACAGATACTGATGACAGCAGCTACGCTTTGATTTGCTCAAGGCATCCCAGGGCCACCTTAAAATAGCAAACTTAGGGAGTTAAGATAAGATTGAGATCCCCTTCCCACAGCTCCTGCCCGGCTACTTTCCTGCCTCCTGTGCTCGCCCATCCCCCACTCCCAGGAATGATTGCATCTGAGGGAAGCTCCGGTCCTGGCTGCAGTGCCGAACCCAGCCCCAGCTCACCTCGATCTCACTCCATACAGAGTCCTGGCTGCACATGTCCCACGCCATCCAGCTCTTGAATGACGCCAGTCAAGCTTTTTCAACTCCAATCCACAGTGACACAGAGCGCACACTCATGCAGGCAACCAGCTTACTGAGAGTGAACTAAAGGCACCTGTCTTACTACAGTCCCCAGTCACATGACAAAGCTATTAAAAAGTAGGCTGGGCCGTCACTCACCCAGCCTCCCCTCTCCGGTGCAGCTTGCTGCTCAAACTCGTGACGTCACTCAGAGGCAGCCCTCTGCCTCAGTGAAGTAACGCCAAAAAAAAAAAAAAAAAAAAAAAGGAAAGAAAGAAGAAAGAAAGGAAACACTTGGACTTTTTTGGAGCCTTCAAGTATCATGCTGTGATTAAAGCCAGCTCTGAATGCCACAGACTCTAAATGGAGCCCTGGCCATATAATAACCAAAATCCCCTGCAATCTTTTTTTAATTTATTTTTCTTCCAAAACAAGCAAGTGGCAAAGCTCCCTATTTCATGACAGAGTAACCAGACTCTTAGCGAAAACGTGTTTTCCCTAAGGACTGACTGGGAAATCTGCAAGTGGACCCTGGCTCAGTTTGGGACTAAGGCAAGAGCTTACCACATGATGAGATAGTTTCTAATTGGGGGGAGTGCTGGAAAGCAGCAAATGAGGCTTTTTTTTTTTTTTTTTTTTTATTTTTTTTTTTTTTTTTTTGCTTGTTTAATCAACAAAGTAGCCCGGATTTGTTAAGGTATAAACAAACTCCTCCAGCAGAAACTGGCAGTCCCGTGGCAGTAGGGACTACCAGCTTCAGAAATGTTACTGCAATTGGCTGTGCTCATACAACGACAGCAAGCCACCAAACCTCATCCTTTCAGGACCCTTCAAATTATTTCCATTTCTATCAGAGGCTCCTAGAAAACAAACATCAGTAAACGCAGTCACTGCTGCCATCCCTACAACAGCTTAGGTTCTTAGCTGCCTTTTTCCACACATGTGGCTTTCTCCCCCTAACTGCCTTAGGGTGGTTTTTTGAATAAACATTGGATCCCAACCCTAGTGCCCTGGGTTGTCCAGTGTGCGTCTGAAATCAAGGATGTCCACGGAGTGAAGGAAAAATACCGACATACTATTAGTAGAAATATTCATTTCTCCAGTTTGGCTTTTTCTTATTTTTCAGCTTGTACCTGGAGACAATGAGGGCTAACGCAGGTGCAAATGTTTTATGATGACACTACATATTGAATACATAACAAACTCGAGGCACTAGATACAGCAGAAAAACACTTCCCGTAATACTACAGTGCACAGACTTAACCCTTCCCAGTTCCACTGAGATGTACATATGTCTATATATTTGTGAATAAACATTTTTTTCATGAAAGATCAGCTCAATTCTTTTACTCCACGTTACTGTGTCTGAAAAAAATTCCCTAGGTATCTAAAAATAATTCATAAAACACTATTAGTTTCCTATTTTACTGAGGTTAATTTAATATGTTCTTAACCATCTTCTTATTAAGAAAAAAGTGGCCATCTTAAATTGTAAGTTGTTTTAAATAGTAAACTGAAAGAAAGAAATACAAAACAAACCCACTAGACTGCTTTTTCCTTCAGAGCATATTTATCATAAAAGATTTGTCTACTCTGATATCTGCAACAAGTTGCTAGTAAATTTCTGAATAATGCAGTGAAATTGACAGCTTGTCATTACCAGGCACAAAAAGATGGCCAACAGCTTTGACATTTTAAGTTAGCTGAATGCATTTCACTGGTACATTTTCCCTCTTTCGGTTAGCAGAAAATTACTGTAGTTTTAATTTTATAAATCAAAAACGAACAGGAAAATGCTTTCATACATGCAATTAGTGGTCTTACTCTGCACTCCCCTCCAAGAAACACTGATTTTCTTCCCAGTTACATTCTGACTTAATGTAAAACTTCAGTAAATTATAAGAATTCAGGACAAAGGTCATAGGCTCTACCTCCAACACAGTCAACTGTCACTTGACTGAGAAGAATCCATGCTTATTAATTGTTATTAAGTGATCCTTGCATTGTGATTGCCACAGATACTTTTGTTTGCCTTCATCCCGCAGTAGGCAACCATTACCCTTTGGAGTCATTATTCATACTGGGCCGTAGTGGATTACTGTTTGTGATATTCTAGCCTGATTACTTGGTGGTGTTGGGGTTTTCTTGTTCACTTTTGCCACCTGATTCAACTTTTAAAACATAATAAAATCAGCCTATCCACTGAAGCCAGAGATCATCTCCTATATGCCGCTTTTTTATCCCTTCACATTACGGCAAGGCTGTTTAGGAGTAAAAATATTTCAAGAACTTAGAAACTACAGCATGTTGCATTTACCCCTCTTAAATCTCCACTATCAATCAAATTAAAAATTAAACAGTTATGGAACAAATTAGAGTGCCTTCCACGATTTAAAGTCTCAAAATTATAATTCTAATGAGAGGGAAATTTTGGAGATCTTCTAGGTTGGTTAATTAACTCTTCAGATTAAAAATTCTCTCCTGTCCAGTTTTTTATTTCCCTATCCTCAGGAGAATTTAAATTGTAGTTGCTCGCCAACCTTGGTGTTTTCTGGCTCCCTGGGCAGTTTCTATATTTAATTTTCTCTCTTCCTTGACTGCTTCTCTTCCTCCCTCTTCACAGCCTTCCTTTCACCCCTTCTGCAACTCTGCTTCCAAAATCTTTGTTTTAATCAACAAGATCTATTAAAGCCTTACTGTGTGCACAGCAATGCATGGCAAAGACTGCCACGCAGGTATATGACAAGGACACAGGGAGCTTGCAATTTAGGGTATGACAGCTCTTAAAAACAAAAAGGAGAAGAACTTGCTCTGAAAAAGTAATATTTTAATTGATACCCTAACTCCTCTTCTACACTTTAAAACACACCCCAGTTAGGTACAAGGCCGGTTCACCAACCATTGCATTTCACACACAAATACACCTCATTTTCTCTCAACAATAGGGAGAGGTATTTATTAACACCTCTCCAGTGCCCATAATGTCTTCTAGATTCCACCCTCACAGAATCCCCCTCTTCAGGAGTTCTGTTAATGTTGTCCAAGGGGGAATCTATCCTGAGTAGATAACAAGAAAGGGGAGGTGGATTTGGTTTAATAATTCCAGAGAATAGATCAATGCTCTAAAAAATGTATTTGATAAAGTGTCTAACATTCAGGTTTCTTTCCCCATTCCTACACCAAAATATAGACATCCAGACACTATATTTCAGACAACTGCCCATTTCTAAAATAACTGCAATCAAATTCAAACGCTCAAACTCAAATACCATAGGCAATTAGCAAAAACAACTGCTTTTATGTCAATATTCTATGTAATTGAGTACAGGCAGAATTTCAGTAGACTACTAGTATAAATATCTTTGTTGACTTAGTCTTACATGCTTCCTACAATAAATTACAAAAGAATACATGTAAGACTAAGATTTTCAGGGAAGAAAAGTAGAAAGGAAAACATATACAGCCAAGCTTTCATGGGTCAGCCATTAGGATCAACACTACAATCAATGTGGTCCTCAAAACTTCCCAACAAAGAAAATATGTGTACCCATTTTCCAATTGAGAAAAATAAGCTAAGGGTTTGAACAGCAGCTTGAAATACCAGGCAGAGCCCTGAAAGCCCTTCTAGGAAGAACTAAAATTCCATACATAATAATCATCCACAAATCAAAAGCACAGCAAAGACTCCTGAGGCAACTTTGTATCCCACAACGTTTCTATATAACTGGAAACCAGTGTTCCTGGGAATGCTGCCTGCCTGAAGTATTCTTCCGGGAAAGGAAAGGGTCTTGTCCAGAATTGCTAATATTTTTAAACTTAACCACTGCTCACAGGAGTTCAATTGCTTGCTTTTAATTCCCAGAGGGGAACACTTATCCTGACACTTTGCATCAGCTCTGAGCACATGCACTGGGTCTCTGGCTTGAGAGCTGAGACTGTGCAGGGCACAAGAGTGAGGAGCAGAGTAAAGTTTAACAAAGACCTCTATTCTATAAATACTCTCAAATTAAATCTTATTTTACACAAACTGCCAAGGTAATGGCAATGTGAACAAAGAACCTTTGGGGAAACAAGTCAAGGAAAGTTAGTGGACATTCAATGTCTTTAAAGGACATTTATATTTTTTCTTTTTTTTTTTTAATAAACAATACATGATAGACAACCTCAGCAACACAATACCCATTGCCAATAAAATCTTCTGCACGCCAGCCCCATGGGACTTGGTCAGATTCTATTTTAACCTAGACCTCAGAATGTGTTTTTGGCATTTTTAACACACAACAAAGTGAAAATTTATCTAAGTTGTAGTCAGTAGGACTAATCTAAACACAAAGCATGAAGCGTATTTATTAGAAGCACAGATAAGAGATAATAAAAAATGATTAAAATCTGATTTTGTCAGATGTTTAACTCCCCTGTACTGTGAATCTACAGATATTTTCATTTACTTTAATTATTTCAGGTTAATTCCCCTATAATGTAATTATTGATTATTTAGACAAGAAATGTTCAATCGGGTTATTTACCATTTTTTTAAACCAGAACTGAAAATAAGCCGTATCACATTTTGTTAAACTTGTAATTATTTAGAAATGTAATTATTTTAAAAAGTGTTTGTGCACCTCAAAAAACATTTTATTTAATAAGATATTTTACCCAATTAGCTGTAGTTAGCAAGTTCTGGAGAAAACTAGGGTACACAAATTATTAAATTGAAAAGAAAATTATTAGTCAAATTGTTCCCCTGCCACTTATTTTTGGAGCTTGGGTCCTAATTAGCTTAATTTTACTTGATTTTAGGAGAGGAAAGATGTATTTTTCTCATAGTCTCAAAATGGAAGAATGGATGATGAAGACTTTGTTGTTGTTGTTGTGTTTTGGTTTCTTCTTTTTATAACACCAGACAGATCCTTGGAAACAGTTTTGAGCATTTTGCTTTTGTTTCTGTTATAGATTTTTTTCTTTTAGTGATTTACTCTAGCAAACTAAAATATATATTCCTAAAATATAGGAAATATATAAAATATATATTCCTGAAATATAAATAAATTCTCATTTTAGGAAGTAATTAGGTTTAAGGTCTAGGCTAAATTTTATGGCAACATGTAAA